TTTCTCAATACTTACAATCCAAAAAGGACTTTAGGGAGTTTTCTGCTTTTCCTGTACTTATTAATCGCCGTGCTTACAGCTGAGGGAGGTCGCATGGGATGTTTTCCATCTGCTTTGATGACGACTTCGATATCCTTTGGGTCTTTGACATAAACCACTGATGTTCCCATAAAATTCCTCTTAAAAACAGGACCGTACTTATCAAACGAGTCCTTCAACTCCACTATAATTTCTTTGAACTCAGATTTTCGTAGAAAGTTCAGCATATCGCCTAAGATAGGCCATCCCTTTGGGCCAGGCATATTGTTGAACGAGCGAACCCCATCCGGAAGATCAGTTCGCATGCCACCGTCTCTTCTTAAGGAATAATTCAAGAACTTGTGAAGTTTATGAAAAGGATTAAGAAGCCAGACAATGACCGACACCAAAAGTGCAGAAAACGCTAGGTACAGAGAGCCTTCCATTTCGCCAAGATAAGAAAATTTCACCACAGTGTGCAAGATGGTGACCTGCTCAATCGTCCGAGGGGTGCTAGGGAAATTGGGGCGAGGAGGTCACTGACAATACGAAATCACGCAACGCTCTTTAGAGAACGTTGCGTGACATCCAGAGGAAACTTCGCAAGGGAGATCTCTCTTTACGGACACCAATCTTTTTCGAGGAGTTCCCTATGCCCCGGAAAAATTTCTGACTTATTTTATTAGGTGCTTAAGTCTTTTACTAAGTCGATCATGGAGGGCATTGCCACTCAACAGTAGGAATTCTCAGTCATTGACAAGTTTTACCTAAAACTTACTTTATTCAAGAACTACTCCTGGAGTGCGCTTTGGATATGACGATGGATAGTTTTTCTCAATAAACGCGAGTGTAAGAACTGTTTTTTCGAGAGCGCCTCAACATATTGATAAATCCTCCCAACTCTTCATGCGCGCGCATGGTATCCTTGAATGAATCGGTCGATTCGATCAGTGGATGACCATCCACCGCCCAAAAAGGGCCTAAAGCAATCAGTCGTACAGTTTTAAGTATGCACATATTGGACTTAATTTATTGATAGAATGTTTTCATCTGCTAGTCAGCCCAACAAGATTAAAATGTATTAGCGCATTGTGCGTCCGAAAAACGGAAAAAAAATCCTTAACAAAGACCTCTGTCGATTTTCTTAACCATTACGTTACCTTTATGAACTTTATGATATCCCCAAGATATGGCTTTCTGAATCTCTGAACTTCATGCACTCACTTGTTTTCATTCTGTTCTAATATAAGTTTTTATGCTCCCATTTCGGAGGCCCAGTGACTTACTCTGAGTTAAGATAAAGTTAAGATTATCGGATTTCCTGTCACTAAAGCGGATCAACACTTACAAGATCGGATTGTTTATATCTCATTAAACCAGACTCATTTCCTGTCACAAAGAACGTAGTACGTGAAATCTGTCTCGCTCCTAACATGTACCTTGGTAGCTTTGTTGTTAAATTGCGTGGAAGTAGCTTCTGGGAGGCGCGGGTTTGAATCTTGTCGAAGCCTGGGATCAGGCTTCTTGTCAGCAATTTCTTTATGTTTTTTTCTACATGTATTTAAATTACACTTAAGTATAAATATGTTGATCGTGCATACAATGAATATAAAAAAAATGGCCGTTTTATTTCCAAATCTAAGATATTCCTTAGAGGCTTTAATATTACTGCAAACAAAAATTGCGTTATTCGCAGCTTAAATTTAATTGAAGACTACAAGCTTATTTCCCTAATCCAAATCCTTTCTTTTTTTTCACCCAGGACATTATCTCAATGACTCAGCTGCAGTGCTATTACTATACAAACTTGTAACCATGCAAACAAAGCAGTTTTTGCAAAGGCCACTCCGGTTTTCCTTCAAAATCCTCGACCATTGGCCTAAAAAATCTCTCACTACCTGATCAATCAATCAGATGCAAATCCAAAACCGATCGCAAATTCGTCGCTCGTGTTTTCCAGCGCTGGAGGTAATTTAAGTTTCCCTTGGTTCTCTGTTTCAGCAAAGACTTTCTCCATTTTATTATCTAATAATGTATTTATACCTTCCTTATTGGTCTACTCTGATACACAAAAATAACCAAAAAAATTTCTCTTTACTTATAAGAAATATAAGGGTGTTTGTTATTTCTCAAGGGTTGCTAAGGTAAAGGTTCTGATACTTGGTTAAGGATTTGCTATACGGACCGATTCCACGGAAACGGTGGTGTAGTTTTAGTCGGCAAATTAGAAATAAACAAGTTTAGCCCGAGTGCCATGTAATTAATTATTAAAAACACCTCACTTCCTCAGGCCGTACTGGGGAATATTGGCCCTGGGTCGTTTATGTGCGGACCTCGCTGCGATCGGCCC